CAAGTCTATGTTGCAGTCAGATGATGCGTGCAAATGTAATGGCTGGAAGAATCCCAATCCTGGCCCCCTCAAATATCGTCAAACCTGGACGTATCGCAACCTTTGCCAGTCTTTCGGATCCATGCAGGAGTTGCAGTCACAGCTAGGTCAGTTTTTAAAAAATTAGTTGAATTCTCAAAGTAGCAGTACTGTTTTGTTATGTGTTTGTCATTATTGAATTTAGTTTTTGTTTATTAAATAATCTCAGCAAAAGAACAGAATTTTTAGGATATGTTTAAAGTTATGTAGTACTTGTATAATTCTGCACATGTGCAAGTTGTACATGCACCTACCTTTGATTGTACCCTTACCCAATCTAACCTGTATGGCATTTTTGACAGAGGTACATGTGTCACATTTGGATCATCCACTCGATGATGAGTTGAACAGACTGCTTGCATTGTTGTTGACGTAGAGAACCTCTTGTATGTGTGCACAAAGAGGAAGATGCTGATACAAAACAAGTTTATTTCTCTTGTTCAGGTGGAGATTTCTCTACCTGTAGTACAAAGTAAAGTAAGAGGAAGTGCTAGGCTTCTATGTTAGTATCATGCAGATACTTTAAACAGAGGAGACGTCATTCCTAGTATAAAGTTTTTAAAAGCACATGGGAAAGAAATGTGATTATTACCGAAATAGTGATCGAATATTTGCTTAGACATTGAAGGGATATTCCCTCGAACTTTTAAGCGGCAAACATAAAATCAGGTAAAAATGAATTATTTTAACATTGCACGCTTCTACCTGCATATATGTGTGATAGGTGAAAAAAATTGCTCAGGAATACGTTCATTCAAAGCTTTAGACTACAAAGTGAAACGTTTGGGTTGAATGGTTCAAACGGTTTACCGTTGCCGCTATGAGGCTCTGCTCCGCTCTGCACACTTGCTGTGTTATGTATGTATGAACCATGCTATGTAAAATTATACACACTGGCAGGTTATGACGCAATGGGTTTTCTGGTCACGTACATGGGTAGCTGATAGGGAAAGCACAACGATTTTGTTGCTGGGAGATTATAGTATTCTGAGCGAGTTAACGAGTGAGTGAGTCGAGAGTCGGATTACGTTTGTTGGGTTTTAGCACGTTCTATCTCGAAAACGGTTACGGTAGAAATTCTGAAATTAATAACATAAACGTCGAGGTGCCTCTCTGTCTAGACTACAAAGTTTGATTTCATAAAATGATTTATTTTAAAAATAATGATATCTGAAAGTGGCTATATTGACTGGATTGAAATGATGGTTGCTCATATATAAACAATATGGCGCCTACGGCAACCGCGGCGAAAAGCGTTTTTGAGTTGTTTCTTCGATGAGCAAATATAGGCTTGATACATATTTTCACAGCTAACGTTCAGTTAAAGTGTAGTGAGTTATTTACTGACGTTTTTACAGGGTTTGTTACACAAATTTACGTGGAAAGTTTGAGGGAGCTACCTTTAATATAAAATATCAGTTTCCTTTATGCCCTTTTCTTTATCGTTTCAACATACACATATATACCTTCTTCTTTCTCTCCATCTCCATCTGTTATTTTTGGTTAATGCATTTGGTTAGTAAAACTATTCTCAATATTTATTGTTTAGCTGTGCGCAAATGTATCCTACAAATGAGCAAGCAACAATCGAGGGTCCATTAGGAAACCCTCCATTTGAAAAGCCTCTGCATTGCAAAGGTATGTTCTATCCTTATCAATTTAATTGTAAGTTAATTATATATGGTATATACTTTCTTAGCATTAAAATTCTTTATGTAAAGTATATTCAGATACTGGAATAGGTTCATGAAGTCTTACTGTAGAATTCGTGAAATAAAACTAGTTGGCCATCTATGCAAATTTTTACACATTATGATATCTATGATAAAAATGTTCAAACATTACATAACAACTTAAAGTAGTCCTTGAAGTTAACCATTTTATCACATAATATTGTTTATCACATTCAGTATCCTATCTCCCAGACAGACAAAGTACGACTTAATAATAGTGTACTTTTACAATGAATAAAAAAGCGCCGAAGCATGGATAGTAGCCAGAACTGTGCAATTACTGTGCCTTCTATTCTGCAAATATAGCTAAGAACTTTTTAAATATCTTAAACAGGGGGTTACAAATTTTTGTGATGCACAAGTTTGGTAACCTTGGACAAAAAGAATGGCAGGCACCATGTATGACTTGTCTAAGATGTTTCTACATTGTCTAAATCATTGGAAGCTGGAAACCCCTACAGCTTGGAGGCAGCACTGCAAAGCAACGATATACAACAGTATAAGTAAACTACACTCGGTATGCATTAATGAGAATCACTTTGAAAGGTCCATGTATATTATCAGAAGTGAGATTATATACATGTTAGTCAGACTTTGTAATAAGATCTAGATTTCAACTTTTACTTGCTTAATTTTATCTATAAATGTTTAGATGTAGGCATGCACTTCAATAATATCTCAATAGTTTTGTTGGTTCATCTTGCTCTGGGTCTGTAGTTTGTTTTTGTATCTATTTGTAATATTGCATATTTCATATCGACAAAATGTTTTTGCGTTGTGCCTTCTAATTTAACTTACAAATTTATTTTGTTGAGGATCAGTGAGGATATTTAATCTCTTAATCTGAACTCACAGCCTCGATAGGTACAGGCATCATAGGCAATTTAAATTTGTCACTATGAAAACCATACCACACTATTTTCCTCCCTAGTACTGTACTAATGCAGGAGTGTGCAAAAAATAATAGGGCTGGGGGATTATCGATTTTGTCTTGTATATGTAATGAATAAATGGCATTCATTTGGGAACTTTCACAGGTGGCTGTGCTATTGTCATGTGCCAGCATTCTGTGACAGTTTACCGAGGTATGAGACAACACTCATCTTCGGAAGACATTGCTACGCTCAGTGTTCCAGACCATGCGACATCAGTTGTTAGAGAAATTTAGGGCAGAGAAGGACAAAATGCCACCTGAGAAAGACGCTTGTACTTACACTCCCTCCCACGTAAGCTATGTAACATGTGCACATGTGATAATTTGTCACCAGAACAGATTACTCATAATTCCTAAATGTTCTTTACATATTAAGAGTATTACACAAAGTTTTCTATTCCTGGAAGCATGTGCAGAGTAGTAGTGATATAGCAGTATTACCATAATAGCAGAACTTCAGAGTTGGGTAAAGTTGTCATCTAATAACAGCGAGGTAATAAATGAGATGTTGAGCAAAGAAATTTATCTCAATACGCTTCTGTCAACACCTGTTGTAGAAGTGAATTGAAAATGCCGGCATGAGGCTAATAATCTCACCCTTATAAAAGTTAGTATTTTGCTAGGCGAAGCCTGTTACAAAAACAAAGCAAGGGCGTATGCTCAACAAAACAAGCCATGAAAGACAAAAGCAAATTAGACATAAAAGATTCGCCACTTGCCGTACGATTATGGATGCTGCAATATTTCTAGAACATATGGTGCTGGAAGCTGTTTCAAACAGTTACTGACTTGCCCATAAACCACATATCTGCTAGTTAACTGTAATGATACTTGTAGCTACTGTTACTAATATTAATCTATCATCTAATGTCAAATAGCTTAAAAATATAATTGCAATTATGTTATATAAATACTAGGTACACCTTTAAAGTGGTGCCGGAGGACGATACGCACGATATACTTTGTTATTCAGTGGCTTAAGTTATGCATCTTTAAAAAAGCATTTTTATTGTTATTCTGCAGGTTTCTTTCCATGCTGGAGAGGAGGTATACTCTTGCAACATCGCCGATCTGGATAGCAACTTCTCCCAGACACTGAGTGGTAGTGCCTCACCAAGCAGTTCTCTCCAGCCAATCTCCTCCGCCGGAAACCCGCAGCAAAGCAAAAGGTGCAATTATTTATCATATATACATATATATATACATATATATATATATATATATATATATATATATCAAGAGTACATAATGGGAGAAGAGTATGACACTGTTTTAACAGCGTTTTGCAGAGTTTCAACTTGAAAAATTCTATCAATATGGAATAAAATTATTCAAACTTTACCTTGTTTCGTCTCGGATTCTCCTTAATCATATTACACACAGTTTACCTGAAAATCGTATGTGTTCTTAAAAAAGGTGCTTTGAATACGACACGGTTTCACTCAGTTTTTCCCAAACTTTTTGCATCTCTCGGCCAATCTTTGTTATCGGATTAGTGTTCTATTGTCTCTGACGGGAATGCTGGGACTGTTGGGGATATTAGGTAAGCACACAGTAACAGCACAACTTGTTTCGCTTCCTTATCCATCAGGAACACGGTGCAACACAGCTAAAATCAGCTGCTAGCTCGCCGTGAGCACACATTTATTTTTAGCACACTGGAAACGCAATACACGCTGAATACAATCAATGCCTAATGTCCCCAACAGCCCCCAGCATCCCGTCACAGATAATAGAACACTAATCCGATAACAAAGATTGGCCGCGGAGATGCAAAAGTTTCGGAAAACTGTGTGAAACCGTGTCGTATTCAACGCACTTTTTTTAAGAACACATACGATTTTCAGGTAAACTGGTGGTGTCATATGATTAAGGGAGAATCCGAGACGAAAACAAGGTAATGTTTAAATATATTTATTCACATATTGATAGAATAAATTCCAGTTGAAAACTACGCAAAACGTTATTAAAACAGTGTCATACTCTTCTCCCATTATGTACTCTTGATATATATATATATACTATATACAACAGGGTGAAATTATATAGCTCATCATTGCAACTACAGCACGCACGCGCACGTGTTATGTTGATTCGACTAAAAACGAAACTAGGGCAGTAGATTAAAGGGCACCGACGGCAATTACACAAAGGGCAAGGCAGGTGACTGCCGTCGGTCGGGTTGGATTTTCAGGGGCAGTACGGCGATTGATAGGGGCACCGACGGCAATTGCCGTCGGTGCCGTCGGTTAATTCGAGCCCTGCTGTGCAAGGCCTGTGAAGGCATGACACGCAGGGGTGGCTAAGAAGCTTCTTATTGTGGTAGCAGATTTTGAAGAGATGAAATGCTTCCTTGCACCACCTTACATGTGGCGTGCTTCGGCTGTTCGTGTATGTATGCTATGGCGGTATGTGCTATAGGTATGTATGCACTGTATCCTATGGCGCCAATACTGTATCAAAAAGTAAACGTAAATCTAAACCTTCAGAATTTATGTTACATTTTTGTTCAGTCAATACGTCATTTGTGGTAGTTCTAGTTGCAGGAAATATGTCAACCCTGCTTTAGTTTAATTATTTCTCAGGTACTTGGCATTTAAAAATACTTTTAACCTATTATTTTTAGTTTGCATGCTGTTGTACCTACATGTATTAAAACTAAATGACGCGAGAGATTAGCGTAGCAACTCACAGTGAGCTGGGTCTCCATTAGACTTGTAACATGTCTCTATATATAGACTATCTAGTAGCAAGGTGTAGAGATAGGGTACCAGTCTATGCCGCCAGCAACATCGTTACAGCTGAATTTTAAGGACCGTCTAACAACGCACCGGCATAAGTTTCGTGAAACACTTTAACGAGGGACGTTTAGGACAGCGTTAGGCTCTCGTACAAGAATTCTAAGGATATCCTTAAGATGGCGTTTTTACGATAGCTTCGTGAAACGGCCCCCAACTTTTACGCGACATGCTATGCTATGCAATGCTGTGGTGGTGCGCAGTGCACAATGTGTGTAACCAGGGGAAAAAATACACGGGGGCAGCGGGCGATTTCGCCCCCGAAATGCCAAAAAGAGCCCCCGAAAACATGATTTTGGGTGACCCCAAAATAAAAAGTCGCCCTGGAAATCAATTGTCCAGGTCGGTCCCGCGCCTTGCAGCTCTCGCTCAGCGTTGCTGCGCTGCGATGCCTAGGCCTATGCCGCTAGCGGCAGCCGGTTCCACGGCGCGGTAGAATTCATGGTACGGTGTGACTGTCAGGTGTTTACCATTTAAGCATGCATGTGTGTACTGTACTGTATTGCATTCAATCAAGCGCGCGCCGCCGCCCGCGCGTATATACGTGTGTGGATGTGTGCCTGTGCGCGTGCTTGCGTGTGTGCCTGCGCGCGTGCATGCGTGCGTGCCGGTGTGCCTGCGGGCGTGCTTGCGTGTGTGCCTGCGCGCGTGCGTGCGTGTGTGCCTGCGGGCGTGCCTACGTAGACCCGTAGGACCAACGACCTGTAGGATTATAGAACAGTAATCCATGGAAAATCCTAATGAAATTCGCACATATATTTTTCCCTGTCGACACACTCGTGTGTCATTCCCAATTGTAGCTTTATCGTCAATTCCCCGAAAGAGTTTTGCTGTCGCTCGCTCATAGTCCAGCAATGCCAACCCTCTACATTTTAGTAGTGATTGGTACCACGCTGAAGGTTTGTTAGACAACTGGTCTGCCTCAGATGTGCAAGTATATGGAATACACACAGGGGGAGGGGGTATGGGTGCAGTGGTGCGTTATGGTAAAGAGAAGACGCCAATCATTTTTGGTGTGGGCCATCGTTGCCATGGTAAGAACATTTTTGTGGAAATATTGTAGAACCTGTAACTTGTTGTAAACAGTTGTGCTGTTTTTACCCGATTGTCATGGAATTTGGCACACAAATATATGTATATATGATAAATAATTGCACCTTTTGCTTTGCTGCGGGTTTCCGGCGGAGGAGATCTTGGAGGAGAACTGCTTGGTGAGGCACTACCACTCAGTGTCTGGGAGAAGTTGCTATCCCAGATCGGCGATGTTGCAGAGTATACCTCCTCTTCCAGCATGGAAAGAAACCTGCAGAATAACAATAAAAATGCTTTTTAAAGATGCATAACTTAAGCCACTGAATAACAAAGTATATCGTGCGTATCGTCCCTCCGGCACCACTTTAAAGGTGTACCTAGTATTTATATAACATAATTGCAATTATATTTTTAAGCTATTTGACATTAGATGATAGATTAATATTAGTAACAGTAGCTACAAGTATCATTACAGTTAACTAGCAGATATGTGGTTTAAGGGCAATTCAGTAACTGTTTGAAAACAGCTTCCAGCACCATATGTTCTAGAAATATTGCAGCATCCATAATCGTATGGCAAGTGGCGAATCTTTTATGTCTAATTTGCTTTTTGTCTTTCATGGCTTGTTTTGTTGAGCATACGCCCTTGCCTTTGTTTTTGTAACAGGCTTCGCCTAGCAAAATTACTAACTTTTATAAGGGTGAGATTATTAGCCTCATGCCGGCATTTTCAATTCACTTCTACAACAGGTGTTGACAGAAGCGTATTGAGATAAATTTCTTTGCTCAACATCTCATTTATTACCTCGCTGTTATTAGATGACAACTTTACCCAACATCTGCAGTTCTGCTATTATGGTAATACTGCTATATCACTACTACTCTTGCACATGCTTCCAGGAATAGAAAACTTTGTGTAATACTCTTAATATGTAAAGAAACATTTAGGAATTATGAGTAATCTGTTCTGGTGACAAATTATTCACATGTGCACATGTTACATAGCTTACCGTGGGAAGTGGGTAAGTACAAGCGTTCTTTTCTCAGGTGGCATTTTGTCCTTCTCTGCCCTAAATTTCTCTAACAACTGATGTCGCATGGTCTGGAACACTGAGCGTAGCAATGTCTTCCCGAAGATGAGTGTTGTCTCATACCTCGGTAAACTGTCACAGAATGCTGGCACATGACAATAGCACAGCCACCTGTGAAAGTTCCCAAATGAATGCCACTTTATTCATTACATATACAAGACAAAATCGATAATCCCCCAGCCCTATTATTTTTTGCACACTCCCTGCATTAGTACAGTACTAGGGAGGAAAATAGTGTGGTATGGTTTTCATAGTGACAAATTTAAATTGCCTACTGATGCCTGTACCTATCGAGGCTGTGAGTTCAGATTAAGAGATTAAATATCCTCACTGATCCTCAACAAAATAAATTTGTAAGTTAAATTAGAAGGCACAACGCAAAAACCATTTTGTCGATATGAAATATGCAATATTACAAATAGATACAAAAACAAACTACAGACCCAGAGCAAGATGAACCAACAAAACTATTGAGATATTATTGAAGGTGCATGCCTACATCTAAACATTTATAGATAAAATTAAGCAAGTAAAAGTTGAAATCTAGATCTTATTACAAAGTCTGACTAACATGTATATAATCTCACTTCTGATAATATACATGGACCTTTCAAAGTGATTCTCATTAATGCATACCGAGTGTAGTTTACTTTATACTGTTGTATATCGTCTGCTTTGCAGTGCTGCCTCCTAGCTGTAGGGGTTTCCAGCTTCCAATGATTTAGACAATGTAGAAACATCTTAGACAAGTCATACATGGTCTGCCATTCTTTTTGTCCAAGGTTACCAAACTTGTGCATCACAAAATTTGTAACCCCCTGTTTAAGATATTTAAAAAGTTCTTAGCTATATTTGCAGAATAGAAGGCACAGTATGCACAGTTCTGGCTACTATCCATGCTTCGGGCTTTTTTATTCATTGTAAAAGTACACTATTATTAAGTCGTACTTTGATCTGTCTGGGAGATAGGATACTGAATGTGATAAACAATATTATGTGATAAAATGGTTAACTTCAAGGACTACTTTAAGTGGTTATTGTAATGTTTGAACATTTTTATCATAGATATCATAATGTGTAAAAATTTGCATAGATGGCCAACTAGTTTTATTTCACGAATTCTACAGTAAGACTTCATGAACCTATTCCAGTATCTGAATATACTTTACATAAAGAATTTTAATGCTAAGAAAGTATATACCATATATAATTAACTTACAATTAAATTGATAAGGATAGAACATACCTTTGCAATGCTAGGCTTTTCAAATGGAGGGTTTCCTAATGGACCCTCGATTGTTGGCTTGCTCATTTGTAGGATACATTTGCGCAACAGCTAAAACATAAATATTGAGAATAGTTTTACTAACCAAATGCATTAACCAAAAATAACAGATGGAGATGGAGAGAAAGAAGAGGGTATATATGTGTATGTTGAAACGATAAAGAAAAGGGGCATAAAGGAAACTGATATTTTATATTAAAGGTAGCTTCCCTCAAACTTTCCACGTAAATTTGTGTAACAAACCACTGTAAAAACGTCAGTAAATAACTCACTACACTTTAACTGAACGTTAGCTGTGAAAATATGTATCAAGCCTATATTTGCTCATCGAAGAAACAACTCAAAAAACGCTTTTCGCCGCGGTTCCGTAGGCGCCATATTGTTTATATATGAGCAACCATCATTTCAATCCAGTCAATATAGCCACTTTCAGATATCATAACTTTTAAAATAAATCATTTTATGAAATCAAACTTTGTAGTCTAGACAGAGAGGCACCTCGACTGTTTATGTTATTAATTTCAGAATTTCTACCGTAACCGTTTTCGAGATAGAACGTGCTAAAAACCCAACAAAACGTAATCCGACTCTCGACTCACTCACTCGTTAACTCGCTCAGAATACTATAATCTCCCAGCAACAAAATCGTTGTGCTTTCCCTATCAGCTACCCATGTACGTGACCAGAAAACCCATTGCGTCATAACCTGCCAGTGTGTATAATTTTACATAGCATGGTTCATACATACATAACACAGCAAGTGTGCAGAGCGGAGCAGAGCCTCATAGCGGCAACGGTAAACGCGTTTGAAACATTCAACCCAAACGTTTCACTTTGTAGTCTAAAAGCTTTGAATGAACGTATTCCTGAGCAATTTTTTTCACCTATCACACATATATAGGCAGGTAGAAGCGTGCAATGTTAAAATAATTCATTTTTACCTGATTTTATGTTTGCCGCTTAAAAGTTCGAGGGAATATCCCTTCAATGTCTCAGCAAATATTCGGTCACTATTTCGGTAATAATCACATTTCTTTCCCATGTGCTTTTAAAAACTATTATACTAGGAAATGACGTCTCCTCTGTTTAAAGTATCTGCATGATACTAACATAGAAGCCTAGCACTTCCTCTTACTTTACTTTGTACCTACAGGTAGAGAAATCTCACCCTGAACAAGTAGAAATAAACTTGTTTTGTATCAGCATCTTCCTCTTTGTGCACACATACAAAGAGGTTCTCTACGTCAACAACAATGCCAAGCAGTCTGTTCAACTCATCATCAGGTGTATGATCCAAATGTGACACATGTACCTCTGTCAAAAAATGCCATACAGGTTAGATTGGGTAAGGGCTAACATCAAAGGTAGGTGCATGTACAACTTGCACATGTGCAGAATTATACAAGTACTACATAACTTTAAACATATTACTAAAAATATCTGTTCTTTTGCTGAGATTATTTAATAAACAAAACTAAATTCAATAATGACAAACACATAACAAAACAGTACTGCTACTTTGAGAATTCAACTAATTTTGTAAAAACTGACCTAGCTTGTGACTGCAACTCCTGCATGGATCCGAAAGACTGGCCAAAGGTTGCGATACGTCCAGGTTTGACGATATTGAGGGGGCAGGATTGGGATTCTTCCAGCCATTACATTTGCACGCATCATCTGACTGCAACATAGAATTGTTCACATATGATATTGTGACATACCTTAATGCCATACAAAACCCAGCAGAGTTCAATATTTGTCAACTGTTAACAAGACAGATGCACGGAAGGGGTGGGTCCTCAGAAGTGCACAGAGAACTGAATGGTTCACTAAGCACACTAACTCAAATGTTATAAAAGCTCTGTGAAAAAATTAGATTGACCACCAGGATACAAAATAAACGTTTTTCATCTTGTAGACTCGTAGTCATACATCATGTACATAGTACTAAATTTTGTAATCTAGTAGTCCGTGAGCAATTCTTCTTGTTCAGAATTTTGGTATGCCTCGATAGCTATCTCATAGTATAAGCAATATTGACGTATATTTGATAAATCGTGGTTCAATGTATTTTAATTTAAAATAAAGTTATAACAACTTGCAGAAGAGTGAAAAAGGTTAATTACGATTTTAGTCATCCACGTTAATCAAAAACTGACTAAAAACTAACAAAAGCTCACTGCTTATGTTATATGAGTTGACGCTGACAGTCAGGTAGCACACAGAACTAGTTAATACTGCAAGCTATTCATTCGGAGTCAATCTGGTAGTTTTTGATTAACACTACAGACCTTCGTTAATTTCGAACCCTGGACTAAACCATTTTACCTAGGTATCATGCACATATATTTTACAGTAATTGTATTAGAATTTAGATTGACTTATGACCAGGGGGCCGTTTCACGAAGCGCTCGTTAAGATAGTAATGGGTTAAAGAGGGGTTTTAGGATATCCTTATATATAGAGTGTTTCACGAAAGCCTCGCTAAGTTTCCATGTTTCACAAAGTTCTCGCTAACTCAACGACGTTGCTATTAAGGACGAATATTAAGGACAGGTCAGGGGCAGTACTTAGGCTATCGTACATCAAGCAACGCGCGTGTTTTTATTGTTTTGACAAGCCGTAGTGTAAAGCGAATTCCCGCCGAGAAGGTAACTTCTGTGTCTACGAGAATACTGTGCAAGCAGGGCTCGAATTAAGCGACGAGAAGGGCAAGGCAATTTTTTTAGGGCATGTGAGAAATCGCCTTGAATTTTCTCTAAAAAAGAAAGGCACCAAGGCAACTCTCAAAATTTGAGAAGGGCACCAAGGCACTTTTGTAAAATAAAGGAAAACTTATAACAAATTAGTACATCAATATCGTCTTGCTTTTAATGTACAAAACAATATGCCCCCATGTAAGCTTACACCGTAACACTGACCCCTGTACCCACCTCTGCTAATGGAAGTACAGTAACAAGAAATTTTACATGCCCGCTATCAGGAGCAAATAATTATCCGATGCCGTTATTATTCCCTCCTGCGACTATCGGTTCCTCACATTGCAATCTACAGCACGCACGCGCACCGTGTTATGTTGATTCGACTAAACGAAAACTAGGGCAAGTAGATTAAAGGGCACCGACGGCAATTACACAAATGGGCAAGCAGGTGACTGCCGTGGTCGCGGTCTGTGAATTTCAGGGGCAGTACGGCGATTGATAGGGGCCACCGACGCGCAATTGCCGTCGGGTGCCGTCGGTTAATCGAGCCCTGCCTGTGCAATGCCTGTGGAAGGCATGGACACGCAGGGGTGGCTAAGAAGCTTCTTATTGTAGGTAGCAGATTTTGAAGAGATGAAATGTTCCTTGCACCACCTTACATGTGGCGTGCCTTCGGCTGTTCGTGTATGTATGCTATGGCGGTATGTGCTATAGGTATGTATGCACTGTATCCTATGGCGCCAATACTGTATCAAAGTAAACGTAAATCTAAACCTTCAGAATTTATGTTACATTTTGTTCAGTCAATACGCTTATTGTGGTAGTTCTAGTTGCAGGAAATATGTCAACCCTGCTTTAGTTTAATTATTTCTAGGTACTTGGCATTTAAAAATACTTTTACCTATTATTTTTAGTTTGCATTGCTGTTGTATGTACCTACATGTATTAAAACTTAAATGACGCGAGAGATTAGCCGTAGCAACTCACAGTGAGTGACGTGGGTCTCCATATAGACTTGCTAACATGTCTCTATATATAGACTATCTAGTAGCAAGGTGTAGAGATAGGGTACCAGTCTATGCCGCCAGCAACATCGTTACAGCTGAATTTTAAGACGTCTAACAACGCACCGGCATAAGTTTCGTGAAAACACTTTAACGAGGACGTTTAGGACAGCGTTAGGCTCTCGTACAGAATTCTAAGGATATCCTTAAGATGGCGTGTTTTACATAGCTTTGCTGAAACGGCGCCCCAACTTTTACGCGCGCACATGCTATGCTATGCAATGATGTGGTGTTCGTGCGCATGCCGGCCTTCGTGGCGCGACGGCGTCATCTCCGATTCGGTCAAACTTGATAATTGATTACCTAGTGCCCAACTGTGTGTAACAGCTCAGGGAAAAATACACGGGGGCGTGCCTCGGCGCTTTCGCCCCCGAATGCCAATTCAGCCGCACCGAAAAATAAGAGATTTTAGGGTTGATACCCCCTCGAGAGCAAAATGAAAGGATTCGCTCTTCCTAGCGAAATCGATTGTCTCCTCTTAGGTCGTGGTGATTTTTTTAGGTGAAGTTATCTATTCCCGCACAGGTGCCTTGTCAGGCTCCTCTATTACAGCTTCGAATTATGCGTCTTGATGCTGCGGCTGTCTAAGGCTGGGATGCCTTTATAGGGGCCCTTTATGCAAACAATCCGCTTAGCGGCAGCCGGTTCCCGGAGGCTAAGCGTTTGATTCAAAGATGGACTCCGATCACGTCCGATCTACTAATTAAGACGGAATGGTCTAGCATTTACATGATTTAACGCTTGACGTTGTGTTGATGCAACCTCTTACTCGTCAGAAAGTGATATTTCACCATTTTAGACTTATGCACTGCCATCGACGATTGTGTCACGTCTTATCAACTTCCTACTTAGATCTGAATGTAAGCCCTAGCCAATGATGATACGTTTGTAATGAGGTGTGTATTGTAATTCAATCAATAGATTAGTTGCTGCGCCGGCCTCGTCCGCCCGCGGCGGGGGCGTTTTTTATAAGATTGCTATTTACTGGATGTGCTGCGCAGGTCCATCAATACGACGGCTGGAGCGATAACGTGGGGTTGGATGTGCTGCGGACGGCTGCCCTGCGTGCCTCCTCTCGACCGTCCAGCAGCTGCTCTGTCCTGGCCACCGCATAAGGCATCAGGCTGAAGCAGCTGCCTCCTATTGCGCCCACACGATGTGAGTGGCGCGCCGTGCATGCGCAGTGCGAGAAGGCGGACGCTGAGCACCCAGAATACGATGAGCGATTCTGCCAGATAGCAAGTCTTCGCGAAAGACTGCGTGCGGGGTAACTGCCCCGCCATAGGATCTGTATATTATCATTTTCTTTATCATTCTGTCTTCTCCTTCTTCTTCTTCCCCGTACATCATTTGGGCTTCTCCTCTCGTCTCTTCGTCGGTTCGACCTCCTGTTCTGTTGTATTCTTCTCCCTTTCTCCTGTTTCATTTCTCATTTCCTTCTTTCTGTTTTTCTTCTTCTTTTGTAGGAGTGTCTCGGCGTGTATTCGCTGCATGGTCTGAGGTTTTATCTCGGGCTGGCGTGTGGCTTGTTGCACGTGTCTGTTCTTGCAGCCGAAAGTGCATTCCTGCCATGATTACATGGATTTTCATGTAAATAATCCTGATTCTTATATATTTCGATTCTCGTGTTAGGTGATTGAGATACTCTAATATCAGATGGCACCCTCCTGAGGGCGGGAGGAAAAGTCTGAGGGCTCGTTACTACTCATCAAGGGTCATTCACCCAAGTTTCACGCATGCATTGTAGACAACACATTGTTATTTCTATTAGCACGGGACTGATAGTTTAGTTAATAATGAATAATATAATAATAATATAGTTAGTTAATTATATAACAAAGTTTGTGAGGTTGTAAACAAATTAAATACACTTATAGATTGGGTTGCGTGCTTACTGAAGACTACTAGCCATATCACGGCAGCTCAGATAAACTAGAGTTTACTGACCATAGACAACCTCTTTAACTCTTTCTCGAAGAAACCCAGCGCCTGTTGACCTTACCCGTGTTAGGCTTGATTTACAGCTGGCATGTGTGTATAGTCCCTTGTTAGCAGCTCAGACGAGATAGGAGCCGAGCTGCAGAGGAGGGAGCACGAGATGAGCTGGATGCCCAGCAATAAGGAAGGCAGAGAGGAGAAGATGAAAGCCCTACGAAGATACACCATGCCAGGATCTGTATGAACCTCTCCACAACAGGCCACTTACGAACGCAAGATCACCTCGCAATTCCACCGCGCTGTCCCCGGCGTAGCAATTACGTGAGTTATCTGCACGCGTTTCCAACCAGAACGACTATATCATACATACGCTGAAACTCATCCCAAATTCTGACACACCCCAGAACCCCGATATTTCACGTTAAAAACCAATTTACGCCTTTTTTAACTCCCCAACACCTATCTTTATTGAGAAATTTTATGCCCAACCTTTATCCTATCTAGCCCCCCCTATAAATACCGACACTCACAGAACAACAAACTCAAGTAAAGCGATCCATGACCTCTAGGTCCAAGGGTGGTGGGTAATTAGGGGGATGTGTTGACTGATAGTAGATTATCCTCACTTGTTTAGACATTCAACAGTATGAACGTCAGAAGTCTTAGTCACAGGAGGTATCGGTATTAGAGGGAAATTCTACGTGTTCTCCTAGAGAGTTAATCTCAGGAATACTACATGGTTCATATAGTATTTACCTCCAAGGAGGATGTTGTAAGTACATAGCATGCCTTCTGAGTTGAAGGCCAGATCAAATCCATTAAACGTGTTTATTTTTTCTACTTTTAAGGTAGTAACTTACAGACGCTGGTATATGAGAGGCTTAAATAAAACAAACACTTTCTTGTGTGCTAACAATGTCAAACGGTGGTTCTCGTAACTGCTGATTATTCAGTTTCGCTGACAACTCATCGTTGACTGCCTCTCGCATCGCAGTCATCGTGTGCGAGCCAGGAGGACGGACATAAGCTGAGTACGTGAGGCAACTACGACGCCGTCGCACTGACAACTACTAAGTTTCAAAAGCGTGTTCAAGTGCGGGCGGAGCGCAGCGAGGACTGTGGCGCAGGGACGGTGTGACCTACACGCTTCACTGAGTGCGGACCTACAGACTATCCACTGATGCTGCATTCAGCCAGTTTTGTAGTCTTGCGCGGGCGTGCCGTTAGAGGTGTAGACCGACCTTTTATTGTGTGGCCTCAAGTCGACCTGCTAGGATTTAGTAGAGAACGCGCTAGCTACGGGTCGCATGAGGAAAATCCTAATGAAATCTGAGCAGCATGATAGGTGGTCTCTAGCCAATTTCTGCCCCCCCTCGCCATCAGAATTAATCTTTCGCTCTGTGTTCTGCTCTCTCACCTTAGATAGACTATCACTCATACGTTCACATTCACCGGTGCCCCCCACTTGAAATTCCGAAGAGTATTTTGCTGCTCGCATGCTTTTGGATTAAAACAAATTGAATCGAACTCAATAGTCACAAAAAATAGAGCAATGCTCAAACACAACTACTAGCAATAATTAAAGTAAAGTGATAATAAAAATATGCTCAATCGCCGGTTACCACGCTGAAGGTGTTGTTAGACATACTGGGTCGTGCCTCTCAGGATAGCTCGCAGTAGTTAAATACTGAGAATATACGCACAGAACGTTTGGAGTAACTGAATGGTTGCACCGGTATGCGGGTGCCCACGCACTTGGAATGTAAGGGCTCGCGTTTTCAGGTAAAGAGAAGACACGCAATACATTTTTGGTTGTGCCCGCGCCACAATCTGCTTGCCGATCGCCGCTACAGCAACAGTTCTTATTGTGGTTAGAATAGTGTATATCCTGTCACTATGTTTTGCTAGTAATACGACGTCTCTCGCTCGTCTTCTTAGTCGATTGTCCATTCGCGCAGGTCTTATGCTTGCTCTACACGATAGACTTTTGAACCTAGATTTTGGATATTTATAACAGTCCTTATATAGTAGCTGAACTTTATATATAGTATCTTCTAACCTTTTAGTGAAGTATATATGTATGATTTATAGCTTTGTTTTAATACTAAATATATGTATTGGTAAGGTTTTTATATAGTGTTCAGGTATCTTCATATGTTGAACCAATGGATTGAAAATTGGTAAATTATAAATTTTTAATGATTGTAAAGTTATTCATACCAATTTTAATCTATAACATTTTTTCTACTTATTTATATTCACTCTTCTTCTATTGAAATATATCTTCTCCTCATTTTAAGATGACTAAACTTACTGTAATTTCCTTTTGATTTTAAATTATAAATTTGGAATTAAAATTTAATTTCATGACTCTCGAATTGCGGGCGGGCGTAAAAACTGCAGAAGTTACTAGGTTCATAGAATTGTTCGGGCGGCGAAAAAATGTTTCTTATCCATCTTGTTGACGTTTCGTGTTTTGTGCAATTTCGCTCGCAAATTTTGGTACATAGAGACTCAAAAATTTCTCTCAGACCGACAAAACAATTTTTTTCAATCTCAGGACCGAGTCTGATCTGTCCTATCTAAAGGCGATTTAGTGGTAACTGCAACGGTATCTCGAAATTTGGCGCACTTTCCTGAACACAGAAGGTTTTTCGATAGGGGGAACCAAAAAGCCATAAGAGCTCGTTTAGAGAATTCAGGCGTGGGCAGCGGAGTAGGCGTATACAAGAAAATCTCTTGCGGCAGCTGGCAACGACGGCGGCGGGCGCGACGATGCCAAACCCATAGTATCCCCATGAACTTCGTTCGGGGGATATAATAAACACGATATGTATTTACTACCTAAATCTTACTATTTCTCTATTCTCCTTAGTCTATTATTACCGATAATTTTCTGTAAATGTTGTTTAATTGCTCCTCTGCAACACATCTGCTCTGCAGGTACATCGCACGCATGCCGCTGTGCACAAACGACAAAATTATAGTGTATATATATATTTTCTCGTTTATTTTGTTGAACTCTACAATTTTGTTGTTTCAATGTTATTGTTTGTGCACAGAAGATGCGTGCGGTCTACTTGTGTGCTTACATTACGGTCACAGTGCCAGTGACCTGCCGTAGGAGCTATAGTACCACTAGTCACTACCAGCATTAACCCGACCAGGCTGTGTGACTAACGTCAATACACCGTCATACAGGTATTCTAACCCTAGGCCTAGCATACCGTTTCTTGGAGCTACCACTACCAGCATACCTTACACGACGAATAGATTCCAAGCTTCTCCAACTTTTTGTTTTTAGGGAAGCCCCTAACTTGGCTTTTCTTTTGTGCTATTCTCTGTAGGTTATTCTGCCGACCTAGCTCGCCACCGCAAGAAAGGGAAGGCACTAACCTAGACTCTTTAGTTGCTGAACCTGCCATTTCAAAACATGTCAATCTGTATCTTTGTTTAGCTGCTCTTGTCTGGCTGAGGTTACTCGTACCAACATCCGGTACACGACAAATGTGTCCTAATAAGTTTATTGGCACGGTACATTTTTGGAAATAAGACAATAATATGTGCCATCCATGTTATTACTTTTAATTTCCACTAAATATTAATTAGTAAAAACAGCTTAATAATCTTAAAATAGTATATAATACCATTTCATTGCGGTTTCTACATTTTTAGTAGATATTTATTTTCAGCACCGTAATTTTGAACACCGGTATATATTTTTGTGCATTCGTCATATCCGGTCCAGCAAAGAAGTTAACTTATCTTTTCTAATACTGTTTCAGTGTTTGACATGAATGAATGTCAAAAGGTAATACTAGTAATTTGCTCATGATGCTGCTATATCAGTATATCTGTACTCTGTGTCCATATATCAACTATAAGTTCTACTCGCACTAATAATTCAGTGTAATGTCATGACTCGGGAATAGTAGTGCCGTCAATCATATGCCATGGTTTGCCACCACACCGCACCACACACAATTTCACAAACTTGTTAACCAGTCGCCGCAATGTAATTCAATTCAGAACACTTGACTATAGTCTGTAGAAATAGATCACTGTGTAGCTGGTCCTATAAAACATGTAAGTAACCTATTTTAATTCATGAAAAGTGATGTGAGTTGTGGTGTAAGTTAACGTGTGCGGTGTGGTGCTGTGGCCCGGGTAAATCGTCACTAAACCCTAATCACAGTACTACTACTCACTACTACTGACACTAGTACTAGTGCTAGTACAAGTACCGTAACTATGTATAATGTAAGTACCACACTCAGCACGATAATATATCCCTAGCTATCACCTGTAAAGTAGCCCTTTACTAGCCTATAGGTGTCTGTGGTGGAACAAATGATAACAGTGTTTCCCCTGCATTGACACGAGCGAGGCTGGCCGCCTCACTCAAATTCTCAGCCGCCCCACAGAAATTTGTCCAAAACACCGCCACGCTGACGAAAATCACTGTTCTTCCATAGAACAGTGCTTATAATGCACCAAAATAGCTTAGAATGCACCAAATTGCACCATTTTTTCAAAAGATTTCCAGTGGGGCATGCCCCCGGACGCCCCTAGCTGGCCGAGCACCTACGGTGCTCGCTTTGCTAGGACCTCACAATGCAGAAACATACAAACAACAATTTTACCGCCTCACAGACCTTTTTGGCCAGGGGAAACTCTGTGATAACATAGACCTAGTTCTTAATACAGTGTTATACGTATGGCATCATTCTATATCGTGCTTTTTAGGAGTGCCTTGATTGAATGATTCAGTTACTGTTTGTCCAGTTGGAATTTACAATGTATTTTTGTGGTTATTTGCCATCAGAATGGTTAAACTCAATAAACAAATCTGTTTCCTTTAATTCACTGTGCCAGTCTGCAGAGCCTGGCATATTTTTATGTTTATAGTCTATCATTCTACCACAAGGCTGTGGGAGAGCAAGAGACTCCAAAGATAGAGCTAAGCACCTCAGTTCTCGATTAGATCTAGTACGGTACAAGAGCTATTATCGGAAACCCTTGGGACCAGGCACGTTTCGGAATTCGGAATTTTTTGGATTTCGGAATGGTAGTACAGTACAGATATACCGTATATCCTGCAACTAGCCAGTACTAAAACCCAAGTTTTCAAGTGGCCAAGTGATGTACCAGTACAGTACAATATGTATGAGTAATAGTGATGGGAATCAGTTGAAAGATTGCAGCTTTTTCCTCTTCAACAACTTATCTTTCTGTTTCTTTAAGTCATATATGGTGGTGGTTCCGACACCGTAATCTTGAGTAAGACGCCGCACAGATACACCACGATCAAGCTTCTGCAGCAACTCTACTTTCTGATGTATGAATAATGACAGACGCTTCCTCTTCTGCTTCTCACTATTACCCATAGGGGAATTTGAAGCTCTTTTTGACATTTTCACCGTCCTCAAAGTCACAAAATCACAAAACAATAACAAATATCAGCGAGCAACAAAGGCAGGTCTGACTGGTAGGAGCGCTGAGACACAACTGTCTCACCAATGGGTTGAGTGTGGGTCGCGTCTGGTCGAGTTTCGGCACCAAGCGTGAGCTTTGGTGTGCAGACAACCGCCACGAAAATTTTTTTGGTTTTCAGAGCTTTTCGGTGTTCAAAATTTCGGATAATAGGTTCTGTACTGTATATGCATAGCCCGTGTAAGCTGTTTCATTCGAAGATTTTAGATGACAAATCTGCGTGCACCTGATATTTTATAGGTGTCTTGCAGTATGTGTGCATTGATTTCATGCATTCTGTGTAGGAGAACTAAGGTAGTTCACTGGTTAGCACATATACCTTTCACTTTGAACACTCTTAACTTTAAAACCAGGGAAGTGAAATTTCGTAAGGTATAAAAAGCTGGCTTTCAGCTTTGGCTACTGTAAATCCCTCATGGCTTTGATGACTACGTAAGATGGCGAGCCAATCTCCATTAATAAAAGAATACATGGGGGCGTAAAACATGGGCAGGGACCACCCTCATTATCAGAAAAGATGCAAGCTTGGCATAATACTGTAGGGCTAAGCAAGGATGATGCCACAACTTCATAACTATATAGCTAGTTGGTTGATAGATAGTAACCAATTGCTGAAACATTCAGATGAGGTCTCTCTGGATCGTTTTGACCTAATATTTCACTTGCATTACTGAAGAATAGGAGTGCACAATATCTGAATAGAACAAAACAACTCAGACTATACAGGTAACCTTAGTAAATGTACAAGCCTTGCTTATCTATCTATCACTTGACAAAAACAATATATAATTTCATCCACATTGTGCAAATTTCTCAAATTTTTATCGAAATGTTAAAGTCACCCATGTCTTGATTAGAGAGTAATTTTTTCGCTTGTTTTGTGTTTGTAGTTTGTTATTGCAGGGTGCGAAATTAACGCAAGTCCGGAGTCAAACACTCCCTGATTTACTGTCGGACTCCCTGATTTGACATATGCAGGAGTTCGTGTGACTTAAAGTATTAAAGTCACTCATTGTATGAAGAGAATATAATATTGGTAATGTGGTAAATGATGCTGGGATCAATGACGTATAATAATAGTAATTAAAAGTTGCATGAAATTTATTTCATAACATTTACATTAACACTGTGTCAAGTCACAGATGAGCAAAAATTAAAAATTAACAAATTAAAAACAAACAAAAATCCCAAAATTAATTTAGAGGTTGGACACCGGACAACCACGGAAGCAATTTGTAGTTGCCCGAGAGAAAATCCAGTCGTCACGGACGACCGGACGACTTAAAATTGAGCCCTGCTCTAGTCAGCAAAATAATTGTGTTAAACTGTTGCCGTATCATGCTTGTCGTTCAGACTTGTATTGCACTTGTTAAGTGACTTGCTGCTTGGTGTTTGTACTTATAGATGACGTTGCAACCATCAAAAACACCAATCAGCATGCTGCAGGAACTCTGCACAAAACGAGGGTTGACGCCGAAATACGATGTTGTGGCTGTGGAAGGAGCCGTTCATGAACCAACATTTGTTTATCGGGTGCAAGTTGGTGATATGGTGTCACAGGTACATGGAATCATGGTTATTGCATTAAGAATACACTCGAGCTTTTGCACAGGTATGGCTCTGATAAAGAGTAAATATTCATTGACCAATGAATCGAATCAATCACACATTTTGGTTATAGATGAGATGTATCTCTATGCCCAAGCCGAAAAATTATATGAAATTTCCAGGACCTAATTATGTAACAACACAAATTTTGAATTTTTATATAAAAATGGTATTTTGGATATTTCTCAATTTACCACAAAGAGTGTGAAAGCAAAATTAAATTTCGTCACAAGTTAAGCACACAATATGCTCCAAAATCGCGTGTTAGGATTTTTCTTTAAAATGTCACCTAGTGTGGCACTTAAGAATAAAAATAAGAATAAAAATGAAAAATGGATGAAATTTTGCATAAAACTTTGAGTGTATGCTTAATGAATTTTACAATTAACTAGCATTTGATAGTATTTCTTAGTATTTAACTTTGTTCGGAGAAAGCATGACTACACTTATTATGTTTTGGTTTGAAGTAAGTAGTGACAAACTGTCACTACTGCAATAAGGATAATAGTACTTTTTTATTTTGTTTTTGCTAACTTGGTCAACCACAAAAATTTTCCATAAATATCTGAGATTTCACATTTTGTGTGTTATGATGTCCTAGTTGGGTTCTCATTCTGTGTGATGCATGGATCTGCATAGAACTATTATATAAAGGTATGGTTTTCTCTAGAAACACAAAGGTGATTCCAGCATTTCGATGATAGCATTTGTAAATTTCTCAGCTTCATACATCACTGCAGATAGTGAAAGGGGTTAATTTGTTATAGTTAAAATACTACCCAATTTTGTTGATAATGAACCTTGCATGCAAAGTAAAGTGTGATTATACATGTGGTATCTATCAGAAGTTAAATGTTAGACTTTAAGTTAGACTTTTATGTGCAAGCCCAGTGAGTTTTCACTTATTTGTAAAACAAGTATTTTCTCATGCTTTCAGCACGTTTCATCTGGATTACTGCCATTATTTGTATGTTTTATTTTTGGAAAAGAAGTAAATGTTATATCGTTTCTACTTACATTTTTAGGCTTCTGGGAGCAGTAAAAAAAAGGCCAAGCATGCTGCTGCTCAGAATATGCTGGACAAAATTAGTGGTGTACCAGAGTCATACCCTGTAGGCCAAATAAAAACAGAATCAACCAACAGGTAGATGATATTTTAAGCTGTTACTTGTTAATTAAAGATCCCACGGAGAATAATTTATTCTATAATAATTATAATGTGATATAATAGTAAGCACTAAGCAGCAGCAACAACAGCAGTATGTATCTCTCAGCCCTTAGATGCACATGAAAAATCTGCTCTTTACTGTGCACTTTTTGTACAGCTGTAGAGGTCAGCGTGAGGAAGGAAGATAATGTGAGGTCTACTAGAATGCACAATCCTTCCTAGTGACAGGAGACCTATGATGGTCCTGAGGCCTAGTCTTTGCCTATATTTCCTTTTTGTTCATTTTCTCTCTCTGTTTACATATTCTTTTTGCTCGTTTTCCTCTACATTCTAAATTTTTTAGCTTATTTTGTTTTCACAACTCCAAAGCCCAGTGCACAGTTTAAGCTTTCAGCTGCATCTGTTTTTTTTACTGTACTCTCCCAGGTTTCGGTGCCTGTGCAATACCACTTACCTATGTTTGATGTGATCTCAAATGCTGTAGCAACGCTTATGAATAGCACCTTATTTTTTACTCCTGTTTTCCTTGGTTCTCCTATATAAAAAAGCTCCCTTTCATTAGCAGCATTTCCGAGAGCAATGGTGAGCATGAGGATGGTATCCCTGGCAACCCGGTTGGGCAACTGCAGGAGCTGACGATGTGTCGGCATTGGCCGCCTCCTCGTTACGACCTGGTGCAGGAGATCGGTCAGCCTCATGAGCGGGAGTTCATCATCCTCTGCAAAGTGTTAAAGTGGAACGAGTTGGGTGAGTTAGAACAGGCGACAGCAACTGTATGTGCTAGGTTTTAACTCTCTGGTAGCCAAAGACATTGAATGAAAAGATGGCGGTGTCACCTGATTTGACAATGTTGTCTTTTTTCTTGTATACCCTTTTTTCTTGTATCTGCTGTCGTTAGATTAAAGGGACACATTACTCAGGTTACTATAGGTTCTTTGGATATTTTCAGATAAAATAGGTTAAAATTATCCTACATAAAAAGTGTTCCGTCAGTTTGACTCAGTTTTCAGCTTTTGTGATTAGCCCTCGGTCTGTAACGTGCAAAATAAATTGGCAAATGCGCAAGTTTTTCAGGGTGACAGCACAATCTCGGGTGTTACGTCAGCGCCCAAAAATAAAGATTTCGAAATTCGATGTTGTTTTATGACAAACGTGAATGAATAATTATAGAAATTTGTAGGTATATGCTATTATTTATGCATTTACTATCATAATATACTCTAAAATTCTAGGGGAAGTATCCCTTTTAGTAGTAGTTGCCGCTATTTATGTTATGATTTTTACTCCGTTTACATCCGTCATTAAAGTATTATATTATAATATTATTTATTGCAGACTAGTGATGGCATTTGTCCAATGGATATCAGTGCTTGTAATAAGATATTACCATGCCCAGTTGTCTTTGTTTTTCATCAAACCCTTCGTATATGATATCGTGGAAAAGGAGGTCTGATCTTCTTAAAAAAGAACACAGATATAATCTCTTAATACCTCAGGGCAGGGGGTGTTCGATGCAGGGCACTCATGCAAAAATGGTGATACATTGAAGATGGCCCAATCAAATGTGACTGCGGGGAGGACCAGACTATGGCACATCTCCTGGAATGCCCCCTATTACCAGAGCCCTGTAGACCTTGAGGCTTTCAACCACCGTTGCAGGTCCTGTGTGCTGCAGTGACTAGGTCGAGTGTAGTGTAGTGCCCCAAGAAAAAGAAGAAGATCACTTAATATAACTGTTTCGTAATGATTTAGGCAGAGGACATTCAAAGAAGCTAGCAAAGAGACAAGCTGCCCACAAAATGATGGAGCAGCTTAAGACCATCCCACCTGACCAGAAAGTAGAGGATCTTGGTGAAGAGGAACTCCTACCATTGGTGCATTTTTACTCGTGTTATTTTTCATGTGAAATAGCTTTTTCTACGAATACGAGGTGGAACTCTGGCAAGCATATATACAAGCACTTACCTAACATTAACCTAACATTACCTAAAATTAACCTACATATTCTTCGACTGTTCCATATTTATGAGAAAATCTATACTAACAGTAATACATAATGAAATATAAGTGCTTATCATAAGATATTGTTTATCATAAAATAATCTTTATTTTTAATTAGCAGAGGGATAAAAGTACATCTGTATTAGCATTGCAATTGTCATTCGTTTTTTATCATTCTGTGTACATTTTACAATGGTATATTTATTCATAGAATAGAAGTTATAAGTGCATTTATATATATATATAATAATCATAATAATATTTGCTTATTTGACTTCTGACTTTTTAGATCGACAACTTAAAAGCTCTAGGTTTTGAATCTAAAGAGGGTTGGTATGAAGCTTTGAAACAGAACAAGATACCTACTTTGACTCCTCAGCACAGTAAAGAGGTAACATCCACAAATACCCCCATGATACTAACCTGTATAGCAGCCTAACATGCACCCGTGTAAGATGTAGTAAACACATTTCCTGTTACTGGTGTAGATATGGTTGCAATGTTCTGTATTTAGTACATACACAATGGGGGAAAAGCTATAGTAACGAGGATGTCTAAATTTAACCTTTATTAGCCTCGTTCACACGAGACCTCGTATTTCTGAAATACCGGATTTGCAAATACCGTATCTGAGACAAATACGCGGCCGAGCGTTCACACGCTGATTCGCGGCTCGAGAAATACGGTATTTGCGAGCTGCGAGCTGCTTGAAACAATCAAGCGAACAATGCGAAATAAACAATGCAATGCGCACCAACTGCCAATAAAATACGTAGACTGTTCCGCGCTCGACAGTTCCACTCACGTTACACTAGAACTGTCGAGCGCGGACCAGTCTATAAAATACGCGGCTTCAGAAATCCGGTATTTAGCGTTCACACGAGGAAATGCGCGGTCCAAGAAATCCAGTATTTCTCAAGCACGGCAAATTATTCGGGGTCTGGGAAGCCTCGTATTTACATGAAATACCGGATCTGTTTAGATACCGTATTTCTTGGGCCTCGTATTTTGCCTCGTGTGAACGCTAAATACCGGATTTCTTGCTACGTGTGAACGCGGCTATTATTTTAGCCACCATCTGATATGTTAGCCTGCATCACAATGTAATATTTGGTTATTTTAGCCCATCAATTTATGTTGCTTTAGGTACTTAAACCCATCTGTTATTATCCTAGTGGACATGCCCCCCCCCCTCCAAGGGTCAAACACAAAGTGTCATTTCTTGAGTGTAGAAAAGTTGCAGCTGGTTTAATTACAATGTTACTACAGTACACAATCTATTATCCAAAAACCCTTTGGACCAGACACGTTTCGGAATTCGGAATTTTTCGGATTTCAGAGTGGTAGTACGGTACAGATATACATACTGTTTATCCTGCAACTAGCCAGTACTAAAACTAAAGTTTTTGAGAGGCCAGGTGCTGTACCGGTACAGTACAATATGTATGAGTAATGCCAAACAAATCAATATTCGTGGGGTCAAATTTCGGAGTTTTTCGGTTTTCAGAATTTTGGATAATGGATTGTGTACTGTAACAAATCTCTGCTGACCTCATTAGATATGCAACTCTCTGCCACCAGGTATCACAGTTCCATAAGAAGCTGAAAGCAAGCTCCGGTGCTAGATTGTCCGAGTTGCAGAACAAGTTACTTGACCAGCCAGGAATCAACTACTGCCAGATTCTACAGGAAATTGCATTGGAACAAAATTTTGAGGTCACTTATGTCGATGTTGAGGAGAAAAATATCCACGGTGAGCAGAATGAGGTGCACGCAGCTGTGCACATCCCTAGACATACCTAGGCATTCAGATTGGCTGCACTTTGATTACATGTGATAGCAAGGGATGGTTCACACACCACAGTTGGCACAACCGATAGGATAGCATCTCTTCTCTGTTGGAGCAGTGTGCTCAGTTATTGAGTAGCGAATGTAAGTGTATGTGTTTCATTTTGTTGTCTGTTTGCCACAGGTCAGCACCAGTGCCTTGTGCAGTTGTCCACACTGCCGGTGGCTGTGTGCCATGGCACAGCTGACAACAGTGATGATGCACAAGCGCAGGCAGCTCACAATGCTCTGCACTATCTAAAGATAATGACAAAGAAGTAGACAAGAATCTGTACAACGTGGTTCATCCGTGGCGGCGATAGGTGAGTACGTGATCTTATACTCTCTGGTCTTCGTTTGTATACCCGCTATGTCTGTATGTAAGGTTATTAACTGCAAAAGTAGTAACTGGGTAAGAAAATGTGATGCATTATTTCCAGTTAAGGATATTCAAGATTTTTTATTTTAAACCACATCTGTATAATTCTAAACGTAGCTGTGATCTTTTTTTAACAGTAATTATCACTTCATACCTTTTGGACAATAATATTGTAAAATTTATAGCTATTATGAAATGCTAAAATGATGATAATATGAAAGTGCCAAACCACCTTTCCATATAGAAGGCAACAGTATGCACATTTCAGTAATCATTTTTTTGTACATTTTTGTAGGAAATGGCTATTAGGGATTATTATAGCCTAGTGTGGTGGCAATCAAGCTTTAGATGTCACAGAAAAATCATGAATAGAAAGCAACCCTTTGGAAACTCGGCGCATTGATATTTAGTGCTTGCATATAACCTCAGCCCGTCCATAGTTGGGATGTCAAATAGGCAAATTCTTTCTGGAAAAATCCTGGCCCGTAACCTACATTTCCAAGAGTATACAAGTAATATTTGAGGCTGCACTAACCATAAACATGTATGAATAAGTAGAATCTGTACTTTATCCATAGATAAAAGAAGCATTCACTCATTCATAGACATGAATAGTTAGATTTTTCCCATGCCAGTCTTGAACAAGGCTGAAATTGTGGCACTGCAATTAATCTTTGATATATACTCTGATTACATTACAACCGGGATAGAAATTGTCTTCAACTCTCGGTTGTAAACACATTCAGTGTGTATCCTACGTCAACCCCTTCCATACATCACACAGCCGAAGAGGCTGGTGTGATTGGAGTGTTGCTCTTATTTTAGCTGGGTATGGTGATGTTGTGTTTTAAGTATCCTGTGAAGTGTAATAATGTAACAGCTGTACACTATAAGTTGTTTGGCACCTTTTTATTTCATGCTGTTTCTGTAAACTGCGCTTTATGTAGGTTTTATGTTAAAGTATTAGCTCACATTTCTCTCGTTGTATTTAAATATGATTAAACATTAAATACACACAAAAATGGAAAAGAATGCAAAATTAGGCTAATGAAATTTATATGTGTGTGTATTTATAGCTGCTTTTAGTGTGTTAACCTTACCTGGACGAATATCTTGTTGCATTTGTATTTCAAAAAATTGAAAGGTTGAATTTTCACTTTAAATTCAAAGTTGTTCACAATGATTTTCTTTTTCACATTTGTTGACTTATACCTATTACGTAGAGCTATTGATATGGAGTATATGAGTTTGGTAATCTACCATGATATGGATTAATATTGCATATGAGTTTTATCCAAATTTTGGTGCAACTAAATAAAATGTTTTATTCGGCTTAGTGAAATTCCATATTATACTGTGTTGACATATTTGAAAAATATTTTTTGGCATATATATTCACAAGTTGATGCATATATTGGTTAACTGTATATCACGGTGATGTTACCCGTGCATAAACTAACTTTTTAGCCTCCGTATCAATTTATAATTATGTTTTAGGTGCCGATCTGCCCAGGTGCTTTATGTATTTTAGGGTTTAGAATAGCGGCTAACATTGATTACTACACCCGGTAGCACTATTTTTGTGGTGATGCATTTTGTGTCAGCGTTTACACTCTTACACGAGTGACTTTGGTATGGTGTATTATATACTTAAGATATTCTACGCACGTATTACGAGCATGTGGTGCAAACTATCAAGACATTCGTGTAGGTCTAGTAACAAGTGTAGTAGAAGACCAGCTTAAGCATCAGCAATGCTCTGTAGTATTGCAGTCCAGTTAATTAAAATTGCATGTCAGTACAGCTGTCTGCAGTTTGTGTAAGAGCTTCCCCTGTAAAAAATTGATGACAATGTAGCCAGATACATGGAAGAAATGTAATTAAGTATGCAAATCACATGGTGTGACTGCTGAAGAAATATAATGCAGCAATGTTTTGAGGAGGGAATCATCTACATATTTTAGTTGAACGTAAAGGTATATGACCAGTGCCACGATTATTAGCCAGTTGGTATTGGTGTTGAAAGGTGATAGCGACCGTTTTACATTTTTGTGTTAATTTTGGCTGTGAAAACATTGCCACATTGCCAGCTGTGAAAACATTAGTTACAATCCACTTTCTATACAAATTGTATTAATACTAGTATTGTATAGCTTCAAAGTAGGAATTACATACTAATGTAAAACTTATGGTGTGGGGAAGTCAACACTAAAGACCCGGAAGCAATCTCGCTTTCTATTAAGATTCTAGATCTGCGAGCAGTTCTATATTGCATATTTCATTGCGTTTCTACTGGCGACTGCAGTGACCAATTGAACTAGGGGAAGTTCTTTCCAATACTGACCATGCAGTGTTTGCCATCAGCTTTGTTGAGTTGAGAGGATGTAGTTTGAATATTTATGGTAAGTGCTGGATAGCGAGTGCGGAAAAGAGCCACGGTTAATGTCTACAAAAATTTCGTTTCGTTTATCCACGATTGTACAGAGTTGTGTGCAGGTTGTTTTCACAATTCTGTGTTATATTTATCACGAGTTTTCCATTCTTATGAAGATATAGCAGATAGAAACGACGTCGGATTGAATCATCTGCATGTAGGACTGCAGTGTTATAGTCACGACCCATTCATATGCCTATTCTATTTCTATAGGCATAGGAATAGAAATAGATTAGACTACCGTATTTTTATTTGTATGGCTCTAGCATATAAACTGCAGTGATTGTGATTAGGACAATTATATATGTATTATGGGTCAACACAAGTATATTTTTTGATAGAAATCCATGTGGTTACTACCAATAATGTTAATGAAACAGATATCAACTTGCGTGTATGGGTCTGCATTTGACAATAGCATTGTATGCTTCCATGGAGGAGTTCAATCGGCTAGCTTCATCTTGTATATCCTTAAGTGTACAAATTATTATAAAAAGAGCGAGTTCTGGACATATGCATGCATCAGAAACAAATTACTCATGACAACATACTATTTATAGGAATTCGATGCATTTATCACTAATGTCAGAAGATGTACTACATAAAGTTATGCCTTTTAGAATTGGTGTAAAATGGAGGCATAAATATATGTAGATGCATCTTTTGCTTAAATATTTAATTGTTGTCATGCTGATGTTTCATGTGGCTCAATTCGACTGATGTAAATCCTGTTGTAGTGTGCTGTTGGTGATAAGGGATATCCCACTGGATACAAAGGCGCACACATGTATCTCATAAAGTGATGGCGTATCTCTCATGGTTAATAGCGAATAAACTACAGTGTACTGCATTGACTCACTTGACCTTTGTTTATAAACGCACAGGGTCGTATTCCATGGTAACACAAGTTGTAGGATATACAACAAATACATTTCGCCTTAATTTACTGCCTCAGGAATAGGTAAATTATTTACAGGCATAAAACAGTACTTCACGTGACAACCGAACATCATGTAAGGAGATGTGGTGAATTACACGCAAGTCTGAATCAAATGCACATTGCCACATTATTACACAACTTCCAAAAACTTACATAACACAACACCTAATTTCAACTGATATTACTTGTGTCAAGAATGAATTAAAAATATTTGTTTCGTTTTTCTTTGCTCCTACTTATATTAATACATAAACACATATAAGCACACACTGATATAACAGTTACCATTAAACAGTTTCCTTATTACTTTCCACAGTTATTGACTAGAATTTAATACTGAATAAATTACAGCACACTTAATTATTTAAACAGGATATAAACATATAAAGTGGCTGAAAAATAGAAAAGCTAAGTACCACAATGTATTATTGTTGTAGACAAGTTCACAGAAATATACCGTTTACATAACTAATACCAGGGTTTTCCCCAGGTATTCAATACGTTGGGTCTGACATGCCTTCAAAGCTGAAGCTAACTTGTGGCATCCTATAAATAATCCCACATGCCTCAATTACCTATTTCACATGCCTTCATTTCCAGCCGTGTTTACTTTTTACAATCCCAAGCCATTCATACTGTATTTTCACGTGATTTATACATCTTCAAACTGATCGAGTTTGCCTGTGTATAGGAGCCGCTTATGACACACGTAATTGACTCCAACTAGCAATCAAGGATGAATTGCCTAATATCCCGACATGCCTTCTGAAATCCTTGGTAAGAACCCCTACTATGATTCACAGCAATTATATAACAATGCTGGACCGCTGCTTCATAATATGAATATTTTATTTTGATTTCTCGGCATGTTTATCATTTAAAATTCACACGATGGGCATCCACTATGCATATTTGGACTAATACAATTAGTCCCAATAATAAGACACGAACTCTTACAATTATATATATATATATATATATATATATATATATATATATATCATATTCATATATCCATAGTATTTGGATGATTTACATTCTAGCATACCACCCATTATAGATATGCTTGAAATTAATACAATCTACAATTGCATAGGCAGTATTTATGGACATCTGCAGTGCATGGGAATGATTAAGGAAGGTGTACAATCAGTCAATCACAGTGAATTATTTTCTCTAGCTTAAATAAACTACTGCTCGAATGCGGAGTCCTTAGATGGGTTCGATGCTGGTGGTAGTAGCGATAAATAAAGCTAGTGTGAGTTTGACACTGTGTGATTCATTGAATGACACACCATATGTTTGTTCCCATATAAATGACCACTCACATACTATAATATAGGTGGTCTATCAAGTTGGCATTTTCTTGTAGCGAGAATAAATTCATGCCGTCAGCATGTGATTGTGTACTTGGCTGCTAAGCGTACAACCGTTTGAGTACTCATTTAGCATATCTTCCTCTATTTTAGACATAGGAATAAAATTTAGCATGAATTATTTTGAGAACTAATTTGCTGAGAACAGGAAGCACAGGAATAAGCCTATTAGCTAAGCTTCAATTACATATTCTTCTACATTAGCAATCCCATAAAATGCTATCCATATCCATATAAGGTTATGTGATTACTTTCTGAAGAGGTAAACTAGAGTTCTATCAATTTCTTAAAAAAAAACACTCAAATGATTATACTGGCTACATCTTGTGTGTTTTCATTTTTTCATCTATCTTGCAGGCATTGATGAAATTCCAATTTTCCACTTTATTGCGTGCAAAGAAGGTCGTTCTCTCTCTCGGGTGAACTTGCTTGTACTCCGTGACAAGTTCTCGTGGAAGATCACTGGTGAACTTATAGCCGAGGCTTAGAGAGCATTCACGTGACGCCACCTCATTGTGTATACGTGTTGTTCCTGAACGCACCAAAATGTCCCCTGCAAACCACAAAGTGCAAAACTGCATGTCCACGTGTTACTGCACACTGATGAGTCACTGCACACTAATGCCTCACAGCACACTGACATCTCACTGCTCAATAATGCCTCACTGTGCACTGATGTCTCAAAGCACACTGTTGTCTCACCGCACACTAATGCCTCACAGCACAATGATTCATAGCTGCACACTGATGCATTACTGCACAATGCCTCATTACATACTGATGTCTTTCTGTACAGTGATGGTCTCACAACACGCCAATTCCTGACTGCACACCGATGGTGCACTGTACAATAGTTTCTACTGACACCCTCGATGGATGATTTTGTACCACGCCTTTACAGAATAATATGTTAACAATGGACTTCGAATGAACACGGATACTCTCCTAGTGAATTGACAAATAAATTTCTTGTGAAACTACAACACTGCACATTAAAAGGTTTAGTCGACCAATTAGTAGGTAATACCTTGATGTAGAATCAACGTTATGGGTCGGCTCCATTCAAGAGTGTTCCCTTTCTTCTCTGGCCATGCCACAGACCATGCCATCACCCCTGCTAGCTACACATGAAATCCAATAAAAAGATTTACTTTAGCAAAAAAGTAATTAAAGTGTAACAGTTTTTAATGTTTAATTATTATTTTCAGTTAAATTATTATCGCTTCCTGCTACATATAGGTTTTTACATATTTTATTAAGAGGACTATTAAAAAAATAAAAATAAAATCAACATTGCTTTTAAAGGATTACGCCAATGTTATAACTATCATGTTTAGCAAAGCAATAACAACCAGAATGGTCAAATTATAATTCACGCCAGCAATTTATTTAACCGCGTTTTGCTATATTTTTTTTATATTGAGTGATAACAATTGTTATGTAGCATAAACAGCCTAAATCAACTAAAAATAATCCTAGCTGGAGACATGTTATCATTAAATGTAATATTGTTAATTATAATGCCCTCATCAAGCCTATAGATACAGATTTTCACAAAATGCAAATAATCGACGTATGAAATCAAAATGTAAATTTGGAAAAATCATACCTGCGCAGTAACAAAGCCCCCGCACTGGTCATCTACGTGCATCGAATCACCTGTCCCTTGAGCATTCACTTTTATCTTTACATCACTAACTCGCCATCGTTTCACATTGAAAAACTTTGGAATTTCCATATAATCTAGCCAGTCCTGCAAACAAAATTAGATTAAAAAAAACATGTTAGGATGACTATGACAATTATTTCACATTACTTTGACTCCGAACACAAAGAGGAGATACACCAATAACTTTATTTACTATGGAATTTTCGATGTCAGTACCTGATCATATGGTGTCTTCAGATTATAAACATAATTGGTTCTACAATTTCGGTCGGAACTTGGACACAAATTATGTTCAAGAAGCATGGATTGGTTTGCATGTGTGAGTCGTGGTTAACTCATGGATTGCATTCATGAATATTATAATAAGCATTAGAAAATCAATTGCGAGTCTATAATCTCTATGTTTATAACTCGAAAAACACCCTATGTTTAAGAACATATGGTTCTAGTAAGATTAATGAATAAAACACGCTACCACATTACCATTTTAATAAACTAACGTCAATTATTATACCATTATGAGTTTCTTATTGTTCCGGTAGTTTGGTGCAATAGTGCCTGCCATGCAGTCTATTGGCTTATATGTATCACCCCCAATTACTGCCAGCATCTTGTGCCTGCCAGTCTGAAATTAGACAACAATGTGAAATTACAGTTTATTATAAATGTAATATGTGCTATCAGGAATTACACTACAAATAAAAAGAACTTTGGCTCAAAAACAGCACAAAATAATAACCATTTAGTTTCCCAAATTTCTCTGTAATTTATCAGCTGTAAATCTGTCAAGTTCAACTTGACAATATGTTTTGAATGTACCATGCAGCTACGTAAATACATCGCATAGTATAACTTTATCCATGATGTTGAGAATGTCCTGACCTTCCAATCTAGCAGCTGGGCTTCTGGGAACGTTTTCACAAGGTATGTGCAGTCAAACAAGTCAAATGCCTGCCAATCTAAAAATAAGATTATACATACTATGTATTAATCGTTTTATTGTCATATAGCATTGGCAATTAACATCATTCCTGGTGAATCATAGATATTTTCCATTCATTATGTGAATAATTCATAAGAGTAACCCATTAACAGAAATTGTTGCAGTGTTATGTGCATTAGGCATATAGTTGTTACATTTCATTAAATTCTGCCTGAGCATACCTCATGTACACAGAGTTAGTCATGCCTTTTAACAGTCTAGAGTAACCACGGAACATTGCATGTGAATGCAGGGGGAAGTATAGCTTGTTGAAGTCGATTAATGTAACAACTCCACAACAGACCAAAGATGGATAAAACGGTGACACCTTAATGTAATCCATTTTTAATGAAGATGACCTCAGGCAATACATTTATTTATTTCATGTTTTACATACTCAGCACATGTTCAATAACATCAATCGAAATGAATTCTAGTCTAAACATACCTCTGATCACACCACTGACAATAAAGGGCCTGCCACGGTGATACTCTTCCCAAAACTCCTCAGTCGTTGGTGTGGTAAGTCGGGCAATTTGCTGGGTATTTGACTGCTCAAGTTCAGCTCTTTCAGCTGGTTCCAGAATTGGTGGACAGTCATTGTGGAGGTGTTCTACATCTTCAAAACACAAATAACATATTAGTCAAGTAATTGTTCAGAATAATTTTCAATTACAGTTTACAGCCGTTTTGGCAATCTTATGGCTTTTACCACTTAATGACTCATAATACCAGGGCCATAAGTACGTCATTCAGCTTTGAGGGGTGGCAGGAAGCTGCACACAGTTTGTATTCTGGGCACTTTGCTGTAGGCAAATCACCATTGGCTGCTGACCATATATGTATACTAGCATCTACATTAATCTGGGGGGTGCCCCTTGTCTCTGCTGCAGAACTGCTTACATGTACACTAATATGTTAAGGAACATCAGTATCTTATGTTGAGACACCTATTATAACTTGAATTTCACTCCACATAGAAACACTCAGGTGACCATTTTTTGTCCACAGAAATATGACCAGAGCTGAGTGAATAATTTGGGTTTGTTATATATAAACAAGGAGATTCTCATACCCAGCAAAATTGTCACAAATAAGATATCACTTTTACTGTCTGATCCTGATAGATGCTGTTATAATTATAGTAATGCTCCTAGCAGTGACTCAATCCTTTGAGAAGCGCCCTATGAGTATGAGGACTGAAAGCATAGATTTTAGCCACAAAATACAGGAAATCCCATTTCTATTCTTTCTGATTGCTACATTTAGTATAAATTCAGGGAAATGTCACAGAGCATATAAAGCAGTACACTGCCGAATATTTATCCGAGGGTGTGTTTGAATGTGACTGTAACTGATTCTAATACAATAACATTGATACTAATAAATGTGACAATTTACCTCTCAGCATGTGGCTCAAATCCTCTATGGAATCCACATCTCCAGGAATATTGAACAGTTGAGATAACATAGGCACCGATACATGGATAAGCATAAACAATGAAATTGGAAGGGTTGTAGCTAATATAAGCCATGTACATAATGGAAGATCAGATAAACTTTCTTGTGCCTTTACTTCGTGTTTTCCCCTCATTGGTGGGATGGCTTGGTTTTTCGCCAGCCTAAAAATATTGACGCATATTGAGTTAATATTATCAAAGACAAAGGTCACGTAGTCGTAGACACTCTGATTATCAAGAAAATTACAGCACCATAAACTAATGAAGAACAGTCTTCAAAGTCCAGGGGATTAATGTATATTCGAAAACAGAGTCGGAGATACAATGTGACCGTCAGAGTGTTTTCTAGGCACTAAGTCAGTATCACTTTTAATACTAGGCCTATACTAATACTAGTAGTAATACTAATACTAATAGTATATTTAATTAGTAATACAGTAATACTAATGCTGAAGGGGTCATTGTCATATATCATATATATATATGTGTAATACTGTCGAAAGACAGATAAACAAGTGCCGCGGAGCGACAGCGCTCATCTAACGTCTACTGCGGTGACTCTGTGGTGGAGTGGTGGGATTCTAGTAAACCCTGTTAGTCCCAAATGTGTTC